AAAAAAAAAAGAAAATCAGGTCAGCTTACAGAGGTGGTCAATATAGGGAGGTGGTCAACTATGGAGGTTCTACTATATTTAGAAATACATTTAATAAGAAATGGACAAATCTATATGATGAAAACCAGAAAATCTTATTAAGATAACATAAATTAAAGTGGAAATAAAAATAGGTTCTTGCTTAGAAAGATTTAATATAAATATCAATTTCCCCCCCTAAAATAACATAAACCTAATGCAATTGCTCAAACCAGGTTTTTTTTCTTTACATTTTTAAATGATTGAATTACTCAGAAGAATAAATGCTGATTAGTAGCTAATAAAACATAAGAAGAAGAACAGTGAGAACAACTTGTCTCACCAGGCATCAGAATGTATGATAAAGTAATGTGATCAAGTCTAGAATAAAGACTCCAGAAAGAGCTCCCAGAATATATGGTAACTTAAAGGGGACAAATCTGTTCAAGTGTAAAAAAATGAAATCACTTAAAAAATGGCTTTGACAGAAATGCCTATCCATTTGGAAGAAAACATAAGCAGGATGCCTACTATTCACACCAAATGGCTGACACATTCTGAAAGAACGAAAAGCTTCACCTGCCACACACCCCCCTCCTTCTCCATGAACATTCCTAGGACCTTGTGGGTCAAAGGCAACCTCTCTCTACTCCCTGAACTCACATAGATCTTTGTGGGTATCATCTGACAACACATAAAGAATAATTTGAAATCTAGGAAACTGGGTAACCGGTCGGCTCATCTTTTCTCCCCTTTGCCTGTTTAGCCATGAAACCCCTTCTACAGAGAGCATCCCTGACAATGTCTAAGGCTCACCTTTCACACCCCCACTGGGTCCCTTTGCTGCCTCCCATTTAGAAGAGGTGGGTAGTCCACATGCTTCCAGGCCCCCCAGCCCTGGAATCCTCTCCTTGAGCCTCCCAGACACTGGGCTGAGTCCCTTCCCCTCCCCACTCTGTGTCTTCACCCTACTCACCCCAGGGCTGGCTCCTGCTCCCCAAATTTAATCCATGTCCCTGTCCTCTTGCCATTCCCTCTCTGCAGCTAGCTCTCCTTTCCCAGAGCTTTAATCACCCCTACGCCTTAGGATTCCCAATGGGCATCTCCAGTCTCTACCTATCTGCTGAATTCTAGGCTTGCCTAGAATCGCCCCCTGGTGACTTCCTCCTGAACACCTTATTTCCTCACTTCTGCTAGTGACAAAACTGTCCGTCCAAGCATAAAATCTGAGTATAACCCTTGGCTCTTTCTCCTCTTTAATCTTTAATATACTGTCGGTTTCCAAGTTCCACTCAAAATGTCATACTGGCGCCACCATTTTAGTAAAGCTCATGACCTGCAGAGGTCCTCAAACTTTTAAAACAGGGGGCCAGTTCACTGTCCCTCAGACCGTTGGAGGGCCAGACTATAGTTTAAAAGGACAGACAGCAGCTAAGCAGGACCGGCAGCAGCGGTGGGCTGGATAAATGTCCTCAGCGAGGTGCATGTGGCCCGCAGGCCGTAGTTTGAGGACCCCTGCAAAGCTTTAACTGACCATCTATATTAACTCTCCTACATCCCCTCTGCCAGCACCGCTCTCCTCAGCAGCCCCGCACCAAGCCCATCCTTTGTCCTCAGGACGTGAGGAAGCCTGCAGCACTGATAATCCCACTGCTCAGCCCAAGGTCTTAAAAACACGCCCTTCTCCCTCTCTCCTGCAGTGTATCCTCTTTCTCACTCCTCATCGTAGACTTTGCACAGTGAGACTGGGCTCCTGGACCTCAGGTCCAGGCCTGCTGCAGATCAAAGCTGCTCACTGAACACCTACCCACTTCTTGATGGGTAGAAGACATTGGAAAATGTAACCTCAAAGGGAAGGGCAACTACAGTCACCCAAAGCAGCGCACCTTGCTCAAACAAACATATACTTTTTAAAAGGGAGAGAGGCATAAAATACAAAAGGCATATAGATTTTTCATCCTAATATATGAAATATATTTAAAGTAATTATAATGAATGGCAAAAACAACAATATCAAATCTAAGGTGTCAGGGTTTTAGGAGGCAGGTGCCCATCAACTGAACACCCCTCTATTGTTATCTACCATGCCTGGGAGTGCCCTGGGACCCCGGGAGGCCTATCTCATCCTGGCTCCCAAGCCAGAGCTGACATCAGACACCGAGAGGGCTGGCACAGGACTATTTACTTGCTTTCTCTCAGGTCCTTCCATATCGTTTTGCCTTTTTACCAAGTAATAGAAAAAAGTGGGAGAAAGGGGGAGGGGAAGGAGGAGAACCCTCCCGCCCCCAAATACAACTCTCTGTCCCAAGGAAGGTTTAAACTTAGGGAGGCGATGGTCTGCCCTTGAATGAAGGTTCTGGTATACAGAAGGCAACTTACCTCTACTTTTTCTACTACTTGCTTCCCAAAAGAGCAAACTTTGGTGGAACAGGTGACTGTCATGTTTTCAGAACTCTCGTACTGACTGGTTACACCATAAAAAGCCCCGGCATCATCTTGAATATTGCAGTTTAAATCAGCCTGTTGGAAAGCAAATGGAAGTGGGGGTTATTCTCTCATTTCAGGGCCCCAACCAGTAACCGTCAGGGTTAAGACTTCTATGCAGCTGAGCGGAGGTGAGGGTTGGCTTGGCGAGGCAGCGAGGTGAACAAGTTCAATGCCCATCAGTCATTTTTTGAAGAGGGTGCTAACTTGGGCAGTCTTCCCTTGAAGTGACATGCCACATGTATCCACTTCCTTTTACTTTCTTGCATTTAGTACCAGAATAATACTATGCCCTTATGACAAAAGATTCACACAGTCCTTGAAATATATGTAGAAAATAGGATATGAATTAGATTCCTATTCACTAATCTTTAGAGATATTTAAAATAACAGGAGACTCTGTAGCTGACTAGCCATTTGTTTATAAGTAAAAATAGAAACTTTACTAAAAATGACAGCATCCGGAAGGGAAATAGTTCCTATTAAGACTGGCTTACTGGCTCGGCGCCTGTGGCTCAAGTGGCTAAGGTGCCAGCCACATACACCTAAGGTGGCGGGTTCAAATC